TTAAAGACAACTACTTGACATATGCAGGAAATGGAAGATGCACTGCTTCTGGCATATAATTATAACTAAGAAAAGGTTGGTAAAGATTCAGAAAGATAAATTTAAAGGAAGAAGAGCAATAGGCAGGCAGACTCACTTGGCTCGATGATTAGAAAATGGCCTGTAGATTATAAGCTTGAATTAGGCATATTGGTGCAACCAGCAATGAATATAGAACAATGTAGAACCCTAGTCGTTGACCCTCACAATTAGGAGACCATGTCCAATTGACTGATTTATATTTTTCACTCCCGCTTTTATTAATCTGTGATTCAAGTAACAAGTAATCTCTAAACTATACTACTTTTAGAAATAAACAAAATTATTTTTATAAATACTTTAAGAATTTCTAAATAAGCATAAATAGCAAATGAACAAATTTAATATTTACTAAAACTGACTCAAAATGTATTGAAAGAGGTTTTGTTTTACATAAACTGAAAACACAACTTACATGATACTATCATGTTAAATTTATAAACATAAAATTGATATCAAATATGCAAAATATGCATAAGCATCTTAGTTATACTTACCAATTGTAACATACAGTGAGATTGGTATTATATAGTTGAAAAGAACCACAAAAACCAGAAGATCAGATAATACTCCTTTTGCCTATAAAAAATAAAATGTTTAAGTAACTTTGCACAAATTTAGAAATCCTCATAAAAACATATTATCCAAAGAATACTTATAACACTTTTTTTTACTAAAGCTTTTTTTATGAAAACAAAACAAAAATACAAACAATATTAAATAAAAAACAATAAAAAGAGGACCTCAGCTCTCAGTTCGTTACACATACTTATGTCCTGTGAGAAAAAAGTATTATAAAAAAAAAACATACTTAAAATGACAAATAATAAATCACTTCATTAACTTTCTCATTATGGGCTAGGCTGACTCCAACTTGATCTTTATAATTTTCATACCATAACTTCTAATACATTTTGTGTATCTTGACAAAATTTTGCAGGCTTTCAATAATCATTAAGTGTCATTTGTAGGTAAAAAATCAGATTCTTTAATGAAGTATTTTAACTAAGAACTTTTCCATGGATATATGGAGTCAAAGTGTTGACTGCTTCTAGTGCAAAGTGATTTTCATTGTAAGATTAAAAATATTTTTCTTCATCTGAAAAAAATCTCACATTTTATTTGCATAATCTATAAAATCTCCTAAATCATTTTTTTTTAGTAAAACATTTTATTTTATATGTCATTTTCTCTACTCTAACTCTATACGAGGTTGATCAAATTGACTGACCTCGTAAGAAAAAAATCAAAATCAATCTAAATTACTCATTTGTTCTTTCTAGAATGGCTTCAAATTGTAACATGAAACTATTTAGACGTTGACCTTCTCCCTGGAGAAATTTCTGTAGACACTCATGTTTATCACCCCTCTGATGTGCAGCATTTAATGATCAAATTGACTGACCTCGTAAGAAAAAAATCAAAATAAATCTAAATTACGCATTTGTTCTTTCTAGAATGGCTTCAAATTGTAACATGAAACTATTTAGACTTTGACCTTCTCCCTGGAGAAATTTCTGTAGACACTCATGTTTATCACCCCTCTGACGTGCAGCGTTTAATGTAAATTACTCATTATAATATATACATTACTAATTCTAATTTCTACAGCCTTCAATCTTTTTTGTATATGGTGACATAAACTAGAAAGTCAGGCCCACTTGCCATATCCTTACTTTCACAAATTGTCAATAATTCTGACATTTTATATTGTATCATTGATAACGAAATGAAAGACAAAGATGAAGAAAAGTATTTTTAATCTTAATGAGAAAAATCACTTTGCACTTGGAGCAATCAACACTGACTCCATATATTCATGGAGAAGTATTTAGTAAAAATACTTAATTTAAAAAATCTTATTTTTTGTGTACAAAAAACTTGTAATGTTTACTGAAAGCATGCTAAATTTTGTGAAGATACACAAAACATATTAAAAGTTATAGTATGGGAACTCTGATGGTTACTTTGGAGTTACAAGATCAGTGTAATCCACTAACCTTGTAGGGAAAGAGATGAGCTCTCTTAATATACATGTGAATCAACATATGTAAATTCTTCATAGGTAAAAATTTTGCTCAATGAAGTGAATGTAGGTCATGCTACAACATTTCCCCTATAATAATCCTTCAAAACACATAAACACATTACAGCTAAACTATTCACATGCTTGCCTCCAGACATGCACACACCCGTATAACTTATCATTTCAAGTTGGGTGAAGAAACTATCATCACAACATAAATTTGACAAAGTTTTCAAAATTCCAGTGCTAGTGAATGGTCTTTAAATCAAACAAACTGATGACAAGCATTATTTTGGTTGCTGTATGGTTAACATGCTCATGCATTTTCAAATTATCCATAGTTAATTAAGGCATGGTACACATACCTCAAATGTGGATGTTGTATCTGTGTATATTGATTGTACAAGTGACTTCTGATGCTTTCTTAAAATCTCCAAAAAAATAATATATGTATCAGCAGCATTTTTGGCTGAAATTTTTGTTTGTAAGTTTTCATGTAAAATTCACAACACCACTTAATGGTTACATGCACAGTAAGTTGAAAGCAAAACTCTGTAATATACCTGCAACAGCCCATCTTGTCATAGAAGAAGACCATACAATAAAATGAAATAATGGAATATGAACAACATACAAGAAAAGTAAAATAAAGAGAAGACTTGTTGATCTACCTAACTGATAACATGCTCAATAAGCAAAACTCAGATGCCCATATTGAAATTATTAAAACAGGTAATTAAGTCGAGTCTTAAAGGAGGACACCCTGGGTGAATGAATGGTACACCAACCTTTCTATCAAGAAGACTCAAGACTGAATCTTAGCCACTACCAACACCACCCCAAAAAAAGAAAAAAAGATCCTTCTTGGGACTTTCCTGAAGGTGGCAGCAAAGCAGCTAAAATGTAGGATTTAAACTAGTTAGTAATTAGTATCTAGTATTAAACAAAAAAAGTAATTAATTAATAATTAATCTTAGATGGTTGTATAAGTTTCTAGCCAAGACAACACAACCTCATGGTTTTTTTCTACTCTTTTTAACAGCTTATTACCTTTCTTTTCTAAAATACGAGATGTTTTGACATATTTTACATACTTCCATACTATTAATATATCTTTATGGCATTTCTGTATTTGTACTCATGGAGTTCTAACTTCTCCATAATGAAAAATTTCAAGAAGATATTATCCAAATCATTTTGTCATATTGTTCATAACTTACACTTATACTGTCATCTACAGGTAAATACCATGGAATGCCCCTCACTGGATCATTCTGATAAAAGTATTTCATTCCTGTTGCTAAAGAAACTTCTACTACTAACAGTACCAAAAAAAAGATCAAAAACTTGTTCATTGACCTGGAAAACAAAATAAAATATTAGTGTCAAAACACAAGGATCAAAAACTTGTTCACTGACCTGGAAAAAACAAAATAAAAATTAAAGAAAATGTTATACACTATAAGAATACAATTTACAAATATGCACATTAAAGCTCACAAGTGAAGGTGTCCTTTGTTTTTAAACAACTTAAAATAATAATAATAACCTATACTTTTTGTTTTCAATACTGTAATATGGTAATCCTCCTAAATGACATTTATTAATTTATCGTTAATTTATCTTAAATTTGACATCAAATTTATACCATGTTGTAATGGTAACTGTAACACTTTATTTGTTATAAACTGGTTATTATTCATATATTAGCAAAAATATCTGTGTCAGGCAGAACATATATTTCATTACCTTCACAGTAATGGTGAAACATTGTGTGTGTGTGTGTACATAATTTTCTGCCCGTAGCAAATGAGGAAATTTAAATGGCTGGCAAAGTTGTAAAAATGAGGGCATACACAAGAGCCCCTGAAAGTTCCATGGTGAACAGGGGGTTGGGAAATTTAAAAATTTTCATTAAAGACAGGTAATCAGACACAAGTCACTTCATAGTATATAGAACAACCAAAATATTTATGAAAGTTATATCACTGAAAAGTTCTTAAACACCACTTCTTAATAATTGTATTGGTCTTCTAGTAATAAATTCAATGTGATAAAGAATTGTTAAACATCTACCAAATGTAACTGTAAACAACAACATGACCATCGTCTAAAAGTTCTTCAAAGTTCTCTGACATTTTCTTCTAAGGCTTACAACACAGCTAACCAATTTAGAATAAAGTTTCAATTCTACACATGTAAAAAATAACACAAAATAGAAATATTTTTTCTTCTGGTGTCTTGCTTAAATTCTTAAGTTTGTCATACATTAGTTTTCATAATAAGTTATCCTAATCAAGTTAACACATGTTTGTAACAGGTTTGGTTCAAAGTTAAAAGTAATAGAAATTAAAGAATATGTTAAATGATCACCAATTTTTTTATATTTTTATTTTAAGAGGATGAAGTTTCAAGCTAGAGCTTTTCATCAGATCATACAGTTTACAACAAAAGGTGCATGCACAGAATTTAAAAAAATGTGTGCATAGCATTTGAATGTTAAACATGAAATTTCTCTACAAAATTACATCTTATACATAAATATTACAAGTCAAGAAAACATAAAACAGAGTGAAATTAAGACTGAAACAAAATATGGAAAAAATGAGAATTTATAGGAAAGAAAAGTATTCATTTAAACAAGATGGTTGTAAGGTTCCCGGATTGTAGATTAATCTCCTTTCCAATCCTTCTCTTTTGTGAATGTCTGTTGGAGCACTAATAAGTCCCAGAATCAAAAAGTCTTCAAATGTATGGTTGTTGAAGGTGAAATGTTTGTTTATAAGTTATCTTGGTTCCCCAGTTTAATATGGTCTAGATGTTCTCATGCTTGATTGCCGAGTCAGTGGCCTATTTGTCCAATGTATAAACTATTGCATTTTTAGCAAATTATGCAGTATATGATATATTCAGTGGTACATGTAAAGGCCTGTTTTATTTTGAAAGTTGTGTTCTTTAATTTTATATGTGTGGTGCTGTTTCTATGTGGACAGGTGACACACCTGTTTCGGTTACATGTGGTAGGGCCTTCAGTAAGTGTTGTGTAATTTTTTAGTTGGTCTAATGGTATGTTAGCACAAGTGGAATATGATAGATGTGTTCTTTCTTGGTAGGGTTGAGTGTTTGCTCATGGGTATATGAATGCTTTTTTTTTTCTATAGATTCTCATGTTTTCTATATTTTGTTTGAATTTTAATTCGAATCTGTTTTATGTTTTCTTGACTTGTAATATTTAATTGTAATTGTAATTCTGCAGAGAAATTTCACACTCAATGTTCAAAATGCTATGCACACAATTTATTAAATTCTGCACATATGCCTTTTGTTGTAAGCTGTACGATCTGATGAAGAGCACTAGCTTGAAACATCATTCTCTTGAAATAAAATATAAAAAAAATTGGCAATTATTTAACCTATTTTTTATTTTTGATATATTTGTTGCCTGTGCGGTTAACTATGTACTTCAAATTTAAAAGTAATCAAACAAGAAAGAAAAAAAGGTTTAGTTAAAAATAAGTCATTCACGTGAGATGATTTAGCATTCCCATGTAGTATAATTTCTACTTTTTATTTTTGTTAAAAAATTAATCAAAGTATATTATATATTTGAAATTGTTTTTTGCTCTTCCCAACATAGAAAATTGTTTTTTAAAATATTAACAGGCTTCTTCATTTTTTTTTCTGCAGAGTTTAATCAGTTGCTTTTAAGTTAGATATTAACATTGGGCTTACAACAATTCAAGTCAATATAGTTCACCTCTAAGGAGTGAAAAAGCTAAAAAAAAATAACTTACAATTCTTTTAACTGGAAATTTATATACATGTCATTTTTCAGATTAATTCAATCACTTTCTCTGCTTAAAATATCTGATATAAGTTACTGTTTATAGCATAAAAGGAATACATTTTTTAATGTACAATATTTCAAAAACTTAAATGATTTAATAAACAACATTCACAATCATATAAATACCTTACCTTTCTACAGTAGAAAATTTGTTGTATGTAAGGTTAAGGTTCAATGACAGTTTTGTCTCGGGACCTGTATATACACAACAACCTGTAACACATCAACAGAAGAATAATTTAATGACAACAAAAAATGTTAAATTTAAAGGTCAACTGTTACAAGTAAAACAAAAGCTGATAATTTCTTCTTTTTAATCCAAAGTATTATAATTTTATGAAATACAGGTTGATCAATTTTTATAAATAAAATGTTATATAACACTTTATTAATAAAATATTAAGCAAAATTCCAAGTTTTCAAAAAGTCTCCTGACTTTCAACATTTGTTAAAACTTGTGCATTACAGTTACCAATTAGACTTCAGTGCATTTCACTTTGAACTAATAAGAAACACCACATTTAAATAAAAAAAAAGAAAAACACACTAGTCAAGGAGATTGACCTCATAGCAATCTACATAAAAATACAGAAAAGTAGTTTAAAAACCAAACAAAAATAAAATAACAATACAAAAAAAGGGAATTGAAACTAAGTTTATGGAGTACTTCAAGAAACAAAATCTTATTAATTAATTTGTTTGTTTGTTTTTAAGCATAAAGCTACAATGGGCTCTCTGTGCTGTGCCCACCACAAGTACAGAAACTTTGTTTTTTAGCAGTGCGAGCTCTCAGATTTACCACTGAGCTGCTGGGGGGGGGGGGGCTTATTAATAGAAATAGTTACATTGAAATGTAATAAAACAATAAGATCATCTAGGACATCTAGCTGCAGATTCCTATGCTGCCAAAAGTTGAACTTATGACCCCTTGTTCAATTGTTTTCAATGACTAAAAAAAAAGTGTTTAATGAATCTTTATTATCAATACCCTTAATAATCTTAAACACTTCAATCAAATCCACTCTGACCCTTCTCCTCTCCATAGAAAACAAGTTTAGAGATTTTAGTCTCTTCTCATATGACAACCCCACCATCCAAGGTATCGTCCTAGTGGCTCTTCTCTGAACTTTCTCCAACAATTCAATGTCCTTCTTGAGGAACGGAGCCCAAAAACTGTACACAGTACTTTAAATGAGGTATTACAAATGATCTATATGGTGAAAGAATAATATCCGTTTTCTTGTATTCAATATTTCTATAGATGGTACCAAAAATCCTATTAGCCCTATTGCTAATCACAACACCAAGATATTTTTCTTCAACCACAGTATTTAATGTATTCCCATTTAAATTGTAACAATAACCTACATGCACCACCTTACATTTTGGATAGTTAAACATCATCTGCCACGTATTGGCTCAATGCATCAAATGATCTAAATATCTCTGTAAGTCTGCAGCATCTTTGATACAGTTAGCCACCCCAAAAATCTTAATGTCATCTGCAAACTTCAAAATGTTATCAGTCACTTCACAGTCAATATCATTAATATAAATCACAAACAACAGAGGGCCCAGCACAGAGCCCTGAGGCACACCGCTTGTAACTGTGATCCAGTCAGATCTAACTCCATTTATTACTACTCTCTGCTTTATACTCTCCAGACAATTTTCTATCCAATTTAATAACATTTCCCCCACACCCACAAATTAAATTTTTGTAACAAGTCTTTTGTGAGGCACATTATCAAATGCTTTCTAAAAATCAAAGTTCACCAAATCTACTGTATTTTCTTCATCAACTCTTGCAGTAACATCCTCAAAGAATGTTAGAAGATTTGTTAAACAAGACTTTAGCTTAGTAAAACCATGCTGGCTCTTTGACACTATATCAAACTGCTTGAAGCAACCCTGCAATACATCTTTAATCACACTCTTCAAAACCTCTAAGTGCCTGGACAATGTTTATAACCTCTTTTAAATATAGGACTAACATTAGCCAACTTCCAATCTTCTAGTACTCTTCCACAACTCAATGACCTATAAAAAATATTAGTTAGTGGTTCACAAATAAAATCTTTAAGTTCCTTTAAAATTATAGGATAAAAGTTGTTTGGTCCAGGGGATTTATCAGTTTGAGGTTTCCAATTTTTCTCTTAAAATTCTAGAACTTAAAATGATAGCTTTTATATCAATATTTTCCCCATACATTAAGTGCTCTGGTTGAGACATAATACTTATATCTTCCTTCGTAAAAACTGAAGTTTACCATCTTGTAATCTTCTGAGATCAGCTCCCCATTATAATTTTTAAGAGGCCCAATCCCCATCCTAACATTTTGCTTATCCATAAC